TGGGAGAATTGTGGGTTAGGGTGGTGAAGAAAGTCGGCCACCGTGGGAAAAAAAACTGTGGGAATTAAGTCAAGTACTGTGGGTAAAATATGAGTCAGCGTGGAAATTATGCACTCAGCCTCAGGAGAACGTATAATTAGGGCAGGAAAATTATAGCATATTAAGGAAAAGAGGGAGGAAATGGTATAATCAGAAATGAACAAACAGATGCACTCAAAATTATAGTTGTAATTTATGTGAAAAAAACTTATGTAAACTAAAAAAATAAAATAAACATATGATTTTTTTTTGTCTTAAAGAAAATATAAGGTATTGAGGAAAAGTTTTGAAAAATAGTTAGATAAAAAATATATATCTTAAGTTACAATAGACGAACTTTGGAGCACCGTGGGAATATTTTGGTTAGTGTGGGAACATTTTGGTTAGTGTGGGAATATTTTGGTTAGTGTGGGAATATTTTGGTTCGTGTGGGAATATTTTGGTTAGTGTGGGAATATTTTGGTTACCGTGGGAATATTTTGGTTACCGTGGGAATATTTTGGTTAGCGTGGGAATATTTTGTTAACCGTGGGAATATTTTGGTTAGTTTGGGAATATTTTGTTTACCGTGGGAATATTTTGTTTACTGTGGGAATATTTTGTTTACCGTGGGAATATTTTGTTTAATGTGGGAATATTTTGGTTAGTTTGGGAATATTTTGTTTACTGTGGGAATATTTTGGTTAATGTGGGAAAATTTTGGTTACCATGGAAAAAATCGATGACCATGAGAAAAAATCGACCACCATGAGAAAAAATCGACCACCATGAAAAGAAATCGATTACCATGACAAAAAAAATAGATTACATTATAAAAACTCAAAACAACACACTAAAAAAAATCCCTATAAAATAAAAATACAGGAAAAGTTAAAGAAATAAACTTGAAAATAATAAATAAATTGAATTGAAAATTATATGATATTGTGATGGGAATCCTTGTAAGCCGGAGGAATTCTGCCTCACCGGTGGGGGAAGTATTTCAACAGCAGGGGTAAACTGAGACTAACATGATGGTAATATTATAGAACATGGCAGGGGAAAAAATATAGGGAATGTAACTACCTGTGGAACGCCGTGGGGAAATTAGGGGATTTTTTTTTTACCCTATTAAAAATTTAGGGAAAAGTGAATAACTCGTGAGTATTTTGTTATCATTGGGAAATTATTGGGTATTGTGGGGAATTATTGAGTACCATGGGAAACAATGAGTGTTGTGGGGAATTATTGAGTATTGTGGGGAATTATTGAGTACTGTGGGAAATAACTGAGTACCTTGAGAAATGAAGCGTTACCATTAGAAATTATGGCATATAGTGGAAACCTCTTTTTAACGGACTCAGATGTAAGAGGTTAGTCCGTTAAATATGAAACTTCCTTCTAACGGACTATATGAGAGAAGGTAATCCGTTATAAAAGAAACCTCCTCTTAAAGGACTATATAGGAGTTAGTCCATTATATCCAAGTCCGGTATATATGAGGGGGGTCACTATAGCGGAGAGAGAGAGAGAGAGAGAGAGAGAGAGAGAGAGAGAGAGAGAGATGAATAAGTCTTGAAACACCTGGGGAAAATTCTTGAGAAAATTGTAGGATATCATGTGATAGAGGAAGTGCATCACGTTACTCTATCCTGTGAAGTGTGGGGGAATTGTGTGAGACTCTGGGGGAATTCTTTTGGAGTGTAGGGGAATTTTTTAAGGTGTGGGGGGAGGGGGAATTTTTTTGGAGCAGAATTCTGAGGTGGGGGGAATTGTTTTAGAGTGTGTGGGGAATTGTTTGGGAGATAGGGTGATTTTTTGAGTGTGGGACACCTTTAGGACCGTGGGCAAAAAATGAACTGCGGGAAAGTTTAGGACTGGGAGAATTTTCTCTGGAGTAGTGCTGAAAAAATGTGCTTGACACCGAGGAAGGAAAACAAATAACTGTACTGTAACGTGAGAAAAGAATCATATAAATACACACACACACACACACACACACACACACACACACACACACACAGGCCAAAGTTTGGAAATAAAACTTGAATATAAAGGAGCTGAGGGACTGTGCGTGGATATTGACGGTAAATGACAAACTATGAGGCGACGAAGAACACAGAGAAGGAAGGAAGGAAGGAAGGAAGGAAGGAAGGAAGGAAGGAAGGAAGAAAGGAAGGAAGGAAAGAAGGAAGGAAGGAAGGAGGAAGGAAGGAAGGAAGGAAGGAGGAAGGAAGGAAGGAAGGAAGGAAGGAGAGAGGGAGGGAGGGTGGGTGGGAAGGAAGGGGAGAAGAAAAGATCGAAGGGAAGGAAGGAGGGAGGTGAAAGTGAGAGGAAAAAGGGAGAGTGGGAAGAGAGGGAGGAGAAGAGGGAAAGGAGAAGAGGGAAAGGAGAGAGGGAGGAGAGAGGGAGGAGAAACTAGGAAGAAAGGGAGCAGAGAGACAGTGAGGGAGGCAGGCAGGGAGGGATGTGTGTGTGTGGGAATAGACCAGATGGCTTGACAAAACGTGTAGGGCATCCCAGTGTGAGAATTTGCACTCGAAGCCTCTGAGAAATACTGTCTGGCAGCGTGGGAAACTGAAGGGTAGCGTGGGAAACTGAAGGGTAGCGTGGGAAACTGAAGGGTAGCGTGGGAAACTGAAGGGTAGCGTGGGAAACTGAGGGGTAGCGTGGAAACTGAAGGGTAACGTGAAACTGAAGGGTAGCGGGAAACTGAAGGGTAGCGGGAAACTGAAGGTAGCGGGAAACTGAAGGGTAACGTGGGAAGGTAGGCTTTATTGGGGAAGAGGAGAGGGAAAATACATGTGCCAGGCTAAGGAGAGAAAAGCACTGCACCGTGGGAAAATATGCCATACCGTGGGAAAATATGCCATAGCGTGGGAAAATATATCTTAACGTGGGAAAATATGCCATACTGTGGTTAAATATGTTATAGCGTGAAAATAAACCACACCATGACAAAACACACACTCTACTATGAGAAAATAAACCTTAATACTAAATCCGTGAGAGACATCGCTACTTTAGTGGAGAATTACCCACATAAATTTTACGATTCTGTTTTTGGCCGGCGGTGTCTAGGTGCTGAGTGGTGGGTCGTGGTGGTGGTGGGTCGTGGTGGTGGGTCCTGGTGGTGGGGTCGTGGTAGTAGTGATGGTGGGTCGTGGTGGTGGTGGTGGTGGGTCCTGGTGGTGGTGGGGTGGTGGTGCAGGGTCCTGGTGGTGGTGGGTCGTGTAGTAGTAGATGGTGGGTCCTGGTATTGGTGGCGGGTGGTGATCGTGGGGGGGTAGAGAAGGATAAACACCTTTGGGTTACTAAGGCTATAATCAGGAGGTAAAGAGTGAGATAATGACACATAAAGGTATATATTATTTTGTGTTGGGCAATAAGTAAATATTTATGAGTATGTATGTATGTATGTATGTATGTATGTATGTATGTATGTATGTATGTTAAGATATACAGGGTGTCCAGAAATGATTACCCTGATTAAAACATGAGAGAATGCTGTTTTTAGAGTAATCTTTTATAGACACCCTGTATATGTATGCGTATTCCTAACACACACACACACACACACACACACACACACACACACACAGTTAGGTGAGTCGTGTCTGGTTTCAATATCCTGTAGGTATGTTACGCCGGGTATGCCGTCACCAAAATCACCGGGCTCTTGGCTGTTGTGTTGTTAAACCATCATAGCCGTGTTCACTGAGGCAAGAACACTGTTTGTTACACGGGGAAATATGTGTCTTTTGACGTGGGAAAATATGCCTTAGCGTGGGAAAATATGCCTTAGCGTGGGAAAAATATACCAAAACACACACAAAAAAACCACCTAACTAATAAAAAAAACAATAAATAAAAGGTCATTAGCCGCATTAAACCCCAAGTATTAAAACAAAACCCAAAACACCCTCACGTACCACACCCAATCCATCAGTAAGATCAGACAAGGTAGTAACTGGCTCTTAACTAAACCCAAACACGAAGAAAATTAAAATAAAACAATTAATATAAACCAACTTAAGCAGAATAAACCAAGCAAGCACAGAGTAATGCAGAGAAGATATAAGAATTAGATTAAAACTTGGTGTGAGGGAGAGAGAATTATTGGAACATTTAGATCAAGGTTTTTATTACTCTCCTACCATCCACAGTCTTGAGAAAAAAGCTAAGGGTGAATTTAGTATCGAGGCAATACATCGTTAGTGATCATCTACTTCACTTTAATTACTTGTGGGTTAATTGAGTGACTTTATGAGATCACGTCGTTAAGGTAGACACACACACACACACACACATGAGGTTATTACAGCCGGTCACTTCAGTATTGACTAAACACTGATGACGTAAAGACAAGTTTATTGTTAATTCAATACGACTTTTTACCTTCTGTGCACTTTTGTTTTTTGTATGTATGTGTGTATGTATGTGTGTGTGTGTATGTATGCATGTATGTATGTATGTGTGTGTATGTGTGTATGTATGTGTGTGTGTGTGTATGTATGTATGTGTATGTATGTACGTATGTATGTATGTGTTCAACAGGAGTCTTCTAGGCGTTCTTTACCGGCGTGACGTCATAGAGCAACAGGTACCGTTATAACATCCTGCAGTAACCAGTAAAGAACATATTATACCAGTATGACATCACCAAACGGTAATTATGACATCATAAGTGAAATATGACATCACAGAACACCGGAAGTTATGGAGTCCCTTGAATGGAGTCATGACGTCATCGGAAGTTATGACGTCACAAAAGAGGAGTCATGACGTCATCGGAAGTTATGACGTCACAAGATAGAAGTCATGGCGTCATCGGAAGTTATGACGTCACAAGAAGGAGTCATGACGTCATTTGGAAGTTATGACGTCACAAGAGAGGAGTCATGACGTCACCTCGAAGTTATGACACCCTAAGCCAGGTGCCATGACGTAAGAGATGTTATGACGTCACAAGAGGTACTCACCTGGAACCTGTCGTCGGCGGAGTAGGTGAGGTCGCCCACGGTGAGGATGTGAAGGTCACGACCCCTCATCCACGTCACCTGCCGGAGAGTTGACCCATGAGTCTACCTGAGGGTGAGTCTACCTGAGGACTAATCTACCAATCTACCTGTGGATGAGTCTACCTGAGAAACGGAGAGAGAGAGAGAGAGAGAGAGAGAAAATCCACCCAGGAGACAGAGAGAGATAAATCCCTCCATGGCACTACCAATGAGCATTAAATCCAGCTTGAAGTAATCCCAGCAGGTGTGTTATAGGGGATTACTGCAGGTCGCTCGGCTACCTGGAGATTACACCCGGGATTTGATTAGCGTGAAAAATCACATTCGATGAGGGTATGTAGGAGAGAGAGAGAGAGAGAGAGAGAGAGAGAGAGAGAGAGATTTGACTCATAGAAAAATTAAACTCACCTAAAAAAATATAAAACAAAAACAAAAACTCACAACAAAAACACCAACAAACACACAGGCTGTCACATCAAACAAACACCAGCACTACAAAAAGTCTTCCACCACATCAAACAACCACAACAACCACAACAACCACAGAAGACTTACGGATCGCTCTCCCAGCATATGTACACGGCAGGGCAGGTAGGCTGTTTGTCCCGAGATGACGGTGAAATTGGTGGGCGTGGTGGTGGTGAAGTAGGGGCGTGGGGGAGCCAGCCACCACGCCCCCGAGCCTCCTCCACGACGATGCAGCGCCACGCCTACACGCCCAGTCATGAAGCAAGGAGAAGAGAGAGAGAAAATATTAAGTAATTTTCTTTCTTTGTTTTTTATTGAATAAAATTGGTTACAAGAAATAGGTTTAATAATAATCAAAATTTGGTCTAAATTTTTACAAGATTTATAGTCAGTAAAATTGGTTAATAAGTTCGACCTTTCAATAATGCTTATGTTTTTGTCTGTCTGTCTGTCTGTCTGTCTAGCTGTGTCCAGTCTGATACATATAATTTTTTGCGGTCACACACACACAGATTCATTCCAGCAATTTCAACTCATTCCAGTATTTCAGAGACTCATTCCAGCAGCTGAGAGACTCTTTCCAGCAGCCCGGAGTCTCACACGTGTAAAGAGACTTATGATCGTGGCTGGACAGTACATCAACACACTGTGAGCCTCGACCATTACGTGTGTGTGACCCCTTGAGGAATCCAATTAAAAAGTTTGAAGTCAATTACCTCCAGACTTTGAAGGTCATTACAACGCTGAAGAACAAACACACAAACTTACCTGTAGGAGGAAAATACCTGAAGGATGAACATGACCACCTGAACACACTTAAAAGATGAACAATTGAACGTAACTAACAGATGAACATATGAACAACCTCGTTTTTGTCCCTTTAAATGAAGTCTTATAAAATGACAATATATGCAAGTTATATTTTATTAAATTTTGTTCTCATTTTAATATTAAGTCTCATAAGCTGCGTTAGTGAGGCCAGTGAGAAAAAAAAATTAAGTTCTTTCAGCGAGTGAGTCAGTGAGTGAGTTAGGATTAGCACACATAGAGGTACTTGACGCAGCTAGTGATTACTTTTGGCACCACACACACACACACACACACACACACACGGTTGCCAGGTAGTATGCTAAAGCTACACAGGTAAGAGGACTGATTACCCAATATATTGCTGAGCCCCTCCCCCCCCCCCCCCTCTCTCTCTCTCCCTTGACAAACAAAAACACAAACACAACCAAAAAAATCAAAACAAACAAACAAATAAAAACACTAAAAAAGAAACAAAAAATAAATAAAACCCCAATAAAAACAGAATTAGCAACATAAGAAAAACACAAAAGACGTAAATAGCAACACAAGAAAAACGTAAAAAGACATAAATAGCAACACAAAAAACACAATAAAGACAGGAGTAGCAACACAAGCAAACCAATCAACTAAGAATTGATTAAAGGTGAGAAATAACTAACTATCACGACCACGACAAAAGTCTATTACATTAAAACGAAAAACAACCCCACACACCTTATTGAATGGGTCGTTTGTGTACCATGATGAATATTTTAGATTAAGTATGAAATGAAATGAGATGTGGTCACGTGTATAGACTTTATGTATACACTGAGATACATACATGCATGCATACATACATACATACATACATACATACCATTGATTCTAGGGTTGTAAAGGTCTGATCGCCAACATTATCTGTAAGCACAGGAGAGAGAGAGAGAGAGAGAGAGAGAGAGAGGTCAGGAGGAGTAAAAAAGGGAAGGTAAGAGAAATTAAGAAGATAAGATAGAGAGAGACAGAGAGACAGACAAGCCAAAAGAGAGAGAACAGAAAGAGAGAGATAAAAGAAAGAAGTAAAGAAAGAGAGAGAGTGGGAGGAGGAAGAGAGTGAGAGAGGTGATGATGAAGAAGATAGCTCACACATCACTACCACAGTGGCACTCTCCCTCCCTCCTTCACCACACTCCCCCAAGAGAAGACATAATAGGAGCAATTAAGAAGAGCACTTGGTTATGAAAGGGAGTTATGAAGGAGAAGAAGAAGGAAGAGGAGGAGAAGGAGGAGGGAAAGGGGAAGGAGAAGGAAGAGAAGAAGGAAGAGGAGGAGGAGAAGAAGGAGGAGGGAAAGGGGGAGGAGAAGGAGGAGAAGAAGGAAGAGGAGGAGGAGAAGAAGGAGGAGGGAAAGGGGGAGGAGAAGGAGGAGAAGAAGGAAGAGGATGAGGAGAAGGAGGAGGGAGAAAGGGAAGAAAGAGAATGAGGAAGAGAAGGAGGACGAGGAGAAGTCGATAGGAGAAGGAGGAGAAAGAGGGGAAGAGGGAGGAAGAGAAAAAGAAGGGGAAAGAGGAGGAGGAGGAACATACTACGATAAAGAAGAGAAAAAGGAAGTAGACGAATAATAATAATAATAATAATAATAATAATAAAACAAATAAAATAAAATATCACCGCTAATAAAATTCACTTAACTAAACAGTACCACATAAACACGAACCTTAACTCCAGGTATATGAAAATTTTAATTAAGAATATATTACGTGATAAAATATACCCAAGACCAGGTATACACACACTGATAATTAAAACAACAAAAAAACTCCAAGATTAAAGCAAAATTCATATCCACGTTTAATTGAGATAATTTTCAGCCCTTTAAATAATGAAAGTTTGTCTCCGGTGAATAAAATCGACTGGAATTTGTCCGTTTATCGTCAGGGTATTGTTTGCTGTACGATAGTTTGGGACGATACTCGAGGCATCCTTAATGTATACGGTACTGCCGGGCGTACGACTTAAGTTGCCAGCCAAACTTGTCTCGGTAAGATAGTTTGGGGAAGGTAATTCAGCCATTTGTTAACCATGCAAACTATACACACACACACACACACACTCACTACCCACGCAAAGCTCACACACACACACAAGCACACACACGCACTCACTATCCACGAAAAGCTCACACAATACTCGCTCTCTGTCCCTAGGGTAGCTGGTCCAGGCACCCAGCTGTCGAGTCCACCTGACCCACTTTTCACTAGACCAACAGACAAACAGTAACAGTAAACAGACCATATACCAAGACCAACAGACAAACAGTAACAGTAAACAGACCATATACCAAGACCAACAGACTAACAACAGTGGATTAAAAGAAGCCAAAACCGGATCCCAAGAGACAGGGAAGCGCATAACAACTATTAGACAGATAATGTGGAGGAACGCGACGACCCCGGGATGACTGATGACTGGTGACAGATAGAGAGAGTCATCGTCATCCTTCAAGGGGTCCGGACACACGCTTACCAACCAACGTATATATTTTCCAAGAGATCTATTTGAAGTTGAGTTTGTTGATTCCATAATGAGATTCCTACTAGACAAAGAATCTTCAGGTATTTTCCTCCTACAGGTAAGTTTGTGTGTCTGTCCCTCAGCGTTGAAATGACCTTCAAAGTCTGGAGGTAATTCACGTCAAACTTTTTAATTGGATTCCTCAAGGGGTCACACACACGTAATGGTCGAGGCTCACAGTGTGTTGATGTACTGTCCAGCCACGATCATTATGCCCACATTTTTAATCACTCTCTTCTGTTGGCGGGGGTCGCTGTATTGACAAACATAGTCTTAAACACGATGGACCTCACACTGCAGCGCCCGACGGAGAATGGCGGCGGAAAAACGAATTAATAATATTGGAATCTGAAGATGTGGCTAGAAGCTGATCTTCGTTACCCTCTTCGTAATTATTTTGTTTGTTTTATTTGATAGAAATAATAAATACGATTAATGAACAAGAAAACCTAATGGTAATTTTATAAACCTATTTTTTTCTTACATTAATGTTTTTACGGCCAATATTATGACATTTTCATGAAACTTGTGTTTTGTTTTACTGCCAAGTGCCAGCTCGTTCAGCTGCTGGAGTCATCTCATCTTACAAACGCTGGCATTAATCAGGTAAGCACATTTAACGTAATTTATTAAACTTTTAAGAGGTTTGTGAGTTTTCGTCTGGAAAATATAAACTAGCGATTTTCTGGGCTAGAAATCTTAAACTGGATAGAACCAAATTTCACTGGCAGGCAGGACATCATCGCTAAACTTCACGCGACATATATTAATAAGGTAAGCACCTTTAAAATTAATATATCAACTTTTGAGCCTTTTTGTAAGTGAGTTTCGTCTGGAAAAAAAAAAAAAATTTCCTCGCCAATTAATGGGATTAATAACTCCCATGCTGATGATCGTCTGTGTAGTCTTGAGCATGGCACCAGTGTTTGTCACCTCCGGCTGACCAACCACACGAGTAAGACGACCCATTATGTATCAGCAAAGGTGAACAGGCTTACCAACCACACGAGTAAGACGACCCATTATGTATCAATAAGGGTGAACAGGCTTACCAACCACACGAGTAAGACGACCCATTATGTATCAGCAAAGGTGAACAGGCTTACCAACCACACGAGTAAGACGACCCATTATGTATCAGCAAGGGTGAACAGGCTTACCAACCACACTGTCGACGGTCCCACACGGAGAGGAAGAGGTTCAGGCGATTAAAACTACCACTTGAAGGAGTGACTCCTACCTGCGGGCTCTTAGTGGAAGAGGGAAGGAAGGTCATTAAAACCCCGGGTACAAGTCTCCTTACACGTCTGACACTGTGAACTGCTGGAATGAGTTGTGAATTGCTGGAACGAGATTATTAACGAGTCTCTAAACTACTGAAACTACCCAGAATTGCTTGATCAAGTCTCTAAACTGTTGGAACGAGTTTCTGAAATGCTGGAACGAGACTCTGAACTGCTGGAACGAACCTCGAATTTCCTGGAACGAGACTCTGAACTGCTGGAACGAGTCTGAACCTTCCTGTTAGCTATATGCACAGTTTGGCCTCTAGACGTATAATATTAATTAATTAAATGAATACTTTATCTTTACCCCTAAGGTATCAATTTACTGGATACAAACTGTGTTTCTATTGGTCCTTCAGGGTTTACAGTCCAATGACGTCATTCTTTGTTTACATTCGTCGTGGTAGGCAGACTTGCTGGACCACGAAACAGCTTAACGTGAATTAGTGTCTCAGAGAAATGCAATTGTCTTAGTCCTCACGTGTTGATGTGTTAAGTCTTATACAAAGGAAATCTATAAAGCAAAATAATTTTAAGACGCTTTACTCTAATCTCTACCTTTCTTCGGAGCATTTTATTTAATTTCCTTATGGT